AAATAGGAGCGAGCGGATGGGTTGGCAGTTTGATTCTGTGGGTGAAAGAAGATCTGTGAGATCTGCACTCAAGACTGTGTGACTGTATCATTCAACGGAGCTATCAAGGTCACTGTGGAGGGCGGAAGAGAGGTGAGCTCTGGGTTGCCATTACAGAAGCGCCCCTGGGAAAATCCCGGAAGCTTCCAGTCACCACTTATCAGCTAGTCTCAATTTTCTTTCAAAGAGATAATGGATAATAACCACAGTGAAAAATGACAGGCTTTACAACACCTATTCAGCAAAGGTACATTATTCTGATTCAATGAAAAGGCTCAGACAAACAAAGCACTCTTGATCTATAGATTATGCCACAAAGCACCTGTGTAAACACAGCATACACACTCATTATACTCATCCAAACAGTTGCAATGTATTATATAAGCACATTACCAAAACACCCACAAGTCAACAAACTATTTATTGGTGTACTCATTATTGCAAACAATAATAATATTAAGAATAATTTGAATAAATTAATCTTGTAATAATAAAAAGCTTAATCATACAGTAGCCTATATGCTCAAAAGTTTGGAGTCGATATTTTTTAATGCTTTTGAAAGCTGCATTTATAGGCTATGATCTAAAATACAGTAAAAACTATAGCGAATCATCACTCCAGTAACATATATGCTCATTTTTATTATCAATGTTGAAAACAGTTGCTCTGCTTAATATTCTTCTATGACAACATGGTAGGCTACAAGTCGGAGCTCTCAGAAAATTCGGAGTTTACAAGTTGTAATTACGGGTTCTACAATGAAGCGAACGCTTTTTACGAGTCGAATCTCATAACGGTAATTAGCAGGGTCTTCCGCTACCATATTAACAATTCTTCGTAGTAATAAACAATGAGCTATATGCACGCATAAGATCCGCATTTGACGTAAGGCTGCTCGTCCATTTCCCTTTGTGTAGATTAAAGCGGAGGAAAACCGGAGAAACGGGATTATGGCAGAGTCTACATATTTACTGTCCTCCCGTCTTTGAAACGAAACGTACATACGTTTAGATGTAATTTTATATATAGTTATGTTTATTTAATATCATTTTAAAAAGAAGCATAAACACAACGAGGGGTGTCTGTTTTATCTGTTTTTGTGACTAACGTTTCATTAGTATAACCATGGAGTATAAAATTCAATATAAATTCTCGGTATTGCATTGGACTCTATGATCCCGTTTAGGCTACACCTGGTATTAAAATGCGATCTGTATATCCAGATAAGTTATCCGGATAATAAAAAACGCATGTTAATGCAAGGTGTAAACGCGTTGTGATCGGATCGTGATCGGATCTGCCTGACCACATCTGGAGGTAGTCTGGCTCGCATTGTGTCCGGATCTTTACTAGGTGTAAACGCAATCTGGTTGTTGAACCCACATATGTATATTTTACTCCTCCCAAAAAAGCTAAAAAATAAACGAGTGAGAGCGTGTTATAGGCTATAGGCTATATGTCATGTTATAGCCTAGTCAGATGCGACACGCGACACGCATCACCGCAGATGAGCAGCTGAGCGTCTATTCAACGTGCAAACATCGCAAATAAAAGTGAAAGTAAGTCACAGACGCAGTTAACACATCTTCAAGTAAAGAAACGAAATTATCTTACCAGGCCTGTTGCCACTCTCTCTTATTGATGTCTCTGATTTGGAAATTAGCTGATGAGTGATGATCAATAAAATGCCGCTCAGATCTGTTGCTTTTGGTGGCGTGCAATCCAATAAATCTGCATATAACGCAGGAGGTGAAGATCGGATTTATATCCGTTTTGCAAAAACACATTTATGTGGCCAGGTGTAAATGGAATCAGTACTTATTATCCGGATAACTTATCTGGATACAGATCGCATTTTAATACCAGGTGTAAACGGGGTCAAAGATCGGCGGAAGTTATCGAGCATCCTTAATCCTTCACCGGAAATAACGCCGTGCATAGAGCCCATTGTTTTTTAGTAATCCAGTGTGTAAAAGAGCAATAAAGTGTATTAGAGTGTTTGAGGGATTCTGCTCAACTTTCGAATCATATCAGAGTTCTACCCACTCATCAGGACGGTTTTAGATATTACACAGCGACTCCTCGCATCGGTTCTTGCCAGGGTTTAATAGATGAAAGGCTATGGTTTCTGGAGAAAGAAATATAGAAGGTCCCAAGCTCTTCAAATCACTCCCTTTTTTACAGCTCTTTTATTTCATCTCCAGTCCTTAATGACACATCACATGCAAATGAGAGCGTGGTGTCTGGGAGCGCATTCCGTAGGAGTTATTTCCCGAAAAAACAGAGCATTAAAAAAGTCAAGCGAGCCAGTTTCGCTGTAGGCGACGCAATGCATCAAATTGGTTTACCAAACACACTGAGAGTTTTAAGTTACATAAAATACAAAAAACACCCATTAAATTCTACATAAAACTAAAATAAGAAAGCTTCCAGGGGCGTTTGAAGTAAGAAAGATGATACTTTCCTCCATATGACTGGTAAGCAGTGTAAGCAGTTACTTGACGAGATGACTAGCATTAGCATGACTTATTAACTATTAATCGCCAGGCCTGATTTACAAACGCCTTTAGGCACATGCAAACCATCAGAAAGAGATTGTGAATGGCTAATGTATCATATTAAGCCTTGTAACTTGAATATTTGTATACACAGATTTCACCAACTAGCTTTTTATCATTATGTTTGATACAAGACACACACATTTCTGACATATCTGATTGAAAATGTTGCATTATGAATTAAAGCTGTTGTATTTGGAACTGACAGAAAGGAAAGCGAATGTGTCTGCTAAGCAGCTAATTTCAAAATAGCAAAAACTTGGCTGGCTTATTGACTTATCACATGATAAATACATGATAAACAGTTCATTTATTAATACAGTATGGGATTGTTAGCCGAAGCAAACACACATAGTGCCAAAGCTTCAGATACCACTTCCTCTCAGCCTCAAGGACATGCATCATCTCATGTGGCGACATTAAGAAATCAATCTCAAAACACTAGAGCGATATTTGATTCCAGCCTTCCCGACTCACTTGCCGTGACTTGGCCATTGTAAAATATAATAAAAGCTGGAAAGGAGCCTAAATAGCAGCGTAAGGGGAGGGAAGATCGATCCAGTTGATAGATCAGAGAGCCCTCATGGGCATCTCAGGGAAAAGGGGCGATGTGCTACAGGGTGAGAGCTGCCAGATTAAGACAGGCTGAGGAAAGGACAGAGAACAGGGCACTTTACAAGGCATCTCCGCAGGAGAGGAGGGATTTAGGACAGGTAAAGTGTGAAAAGTGCGATGTTCTCAGCAGGCTAGAACTACTCTAAATCTGTGATCCACATACCGAGGTCAAGGAACAGAAGCAATGCTGTATTACAGGAGGATTTGCAGAGGTAGAGCGATGGGTTGTAGCTGATGGCATTAAAAACGTCCCAGCAGAGCCGTTTTCCCAAAGGTAACAGTTCGGAAGCCGGTTTATGGTGAGAATCCAAGCTTAATAAGTCAATAATCAGTGACTTCCCGTTTAAACTAACAACTAGATGTCTTGCTTGGATTCTCGTCATGTTGACTGACAAGTGGATCACAATTCGGTTTAGGGGAAAAGCCTTTATAATCCTTATCGGCAATTAGAACAACTCATAAAAACACTTCCTTTTCCTTCTCTACCCATTTGCTTCCCATCAGTCACACTGTAAAAATGAATGTGCTTTATCTAATCAAAAAAATTGTGGCAACAGATTACAAGCAATATTATTAATTCAATTAAACAATATAATTGAGTAATAATTAACCAAATTCCTTAAAAGTGAACCATTAAAAATGAGTAAAACAAACAAACAAACAAACAAACAACGTACATTTAAGTCACCATTAGGGTGATTGGTGTTTGTTAGGTTTGTTTTAAAATGATGGTTTTCTCCTTCAGTGATTCTGCTTGTTAACATCAGGTGTCTTCAATGTTGGCAATTTAAAATAAAGAGTTCTTAATTAATCTTTGACGTCTATCTGTTATTCAGATATTTTTGTTTATTTTTTGGTGTAAACTTTACTCATTTGGTCAACTTTTAAGGAATAATTTGATTAATTATTACTCAATTCTAATTTTGTTCAATTTAATTAATAATATTGTTTGTAATCTGTTGCCACAATTTTATTTATTAGATTAAGCTTATTCATTTTTACAGTGCATCCTCATCTAGTTCAACACGTCTGGTATCATCTTGAGAGAGACTACAGATGTTATCAGGTGTCTGTGAAGCTGCAATACTTTTTTGTTTTGGTTGCAACCCAGGTCCTATCCACTAAGTGAAAGCAAAATGAGATAAAAATGGACCAAAGGTGTTTCAGTAAGTAAAACTTTATTATGGGAAAACATCTATTCCTATAGGAGTGCTTGCTGGGGATGTGCAAGTTCATTTCCAGGCTAGGTAAGCAAGTTCTAAGCTGTGCCTGAGGCTCTGCCTTTATTCTGATACGTCCCATGGAGACAGCAGCGCTCAACACCAGATCTAGCATGCTTCGGAGAGGGATGTTTACATCTTTATCTCATCATATGAAAGTGTGTATGTGCATAAGTCTCGAGTTCTAGGAGGATGTTTGTTTCCTTATCGCACTTGACTGTAGAAACATAGATCTATCTATCGAGAAAGGCAACATTAAATCAGAAATTGTGTGGAGAATCACTGCATTACTTTAAAAACAATATCAATATTTATAACTCTAGTCGGTGAATGATACAAACATCATAATGCAAATGCATCCATTTTTCTTTTTAAAGTAGCCAATGTGAAGAAAAAAACAAACAAACGAGATTAAACTCAAACAACCTTTAGGGTAATCTGCCATCACATTAAGATTAATTTCGTGTCCTTGAACAGTAAAATAGCACTAGCTTCAAAATGCACGCGCATCAAATCACCCGTACATGTAAGTCACAAAAGCCTATAATTCAGTGCATGGACACTTACCTTAGAGCATCCCAGGTTGAGTCCTCCCTCATTCAGCCCGCTCACCGGCCGCTCTCTTCCCCAGCAGACCCGCTGACTGAACGATCTTGCTCCGACGTGATGCTTTGAGTGGAGCATCTCTCTCTCTCTCTCCCTCTCTCTCATCCGGGATGCTGCAATTGATGTGTGGTACCTGTTAACGCTGCCCTCTCCCGGCCACTGCGGGGAACTGCAATAACACCACAGTTGCGTAACGCCGTCACCAAGCGGCTATTGTCATGACAACAAACGTGAACATTAATACATTTTGAAGCTAAGAATTACTGGGTTTTAAAAACGTAAAGCCAATTAATTAAACAAAATGCAATTGATTTAAATAAATAAATATGGTATAACAATGAAAATAAAATTCCAAAATGCATTTTATTTACAGTATCATCAAGTTTACACAAGTTTAAACAGTACAGTCATTAACAGTGCAGACATACGTTAAACCACTCCAGATGGGTAATGTTATACTGAATGGGCCACATTTGAAAAAAATAAACACACAAAACGACAAAAAACACTTTTATAATGAAGCAGGTGATGTTTTTTATTGCGTAATTTCTTTCACTTTTCTTTTTCTAATAGGCTAGTAGTATTTAAATAAGCAATATTCGTTAAATCTCAGATGGTACTTTTATGTTAGTTATCATTACTTGCTTGCCTCATTAGAAATGTATTATTTATATTATTATTATTTTTTTAACCAGCCTATACACATACACTGTTGAATTACATTTCAAGAGGTCAAAACAACCATGTGAAATGTTTTCAACTAACATAACGAAACATTGTTGCATATTATAATAAGAAATTTTAGTCTACTAAAACATATGTAAATAAAAGCTGAACAAGGCCTTTGCACATGCGTAATTTTTTTCACCATTATAAAGAGCTATTGCTATTTACAAATCATTTACTCCATGGAATATAAAGAAAGATAGTATATTGATCAATTGTGAAGCATCAAGTCGGCTGTCAACAAACATCAATTGTGCTGCTGCTTCAGTGCAGGTACAAATATATGAAGTTTAACTAGAACTTACAAATATATAAAACGGTTAGTTCCAATCTTTGATTCTGATTGTGCTTTATTCATAATAAAACGGCTATGACCTCTTCACCCAAGGGTTCTGTACATTGGAACGTTATCGCTGTTCACGGTCAGGGACTATTTTTTTCTAGCGGAAGGAAGGCTTTTAGTGATTTTACTTTATTAAAGTTGCACTAATATATATTTTTTTACTTTAATATTTTTATTGTGTGGTAACCGTTTTATAAAAGCAATAAGGTACTCGAGGCAAGTGCTGTATCGTGAATATACTCCGCTTCGCGTGGTGCCTAACAACGCCCTTCAGCCGTTACAGCCTCTCGTAACTTTGTGCTTACATAATATACATTCTAGACTAAATGATCCTGAGGTCAGATTGGTTGATGAAGGTTTGTTTAAAATCCAGCTAAAAATAAATGGCAATCATGCTCCTGAGAAAACTGTTGGGGAAACATGAAAAATATCTAGGCTATATTTACTTCTAAACATTTGACAATTATAAAACCATTATAACTTTTTGTATAAATTTAACATCGCCAAGATTATACTCACCAACGTTCTTACCTCTATCCTAGCATCATATCCTATTGAAGGCATCAATTTATAACAGCTGGAACTCGAAGGTCATTGTCAGAATTGATATTTATACAGTCTATAAAATGTATAGTCTGTATATAAATATTCCAATGGTAAATGGCTATTTTAAATTGCAATATTATTTCACAATATTACTATATTTACAGTATTTAAAATGATTTGCTTGGAGCATAAAGTTCTTTTAAAAACCTTTAAACAATTTTAGGAAATTATTCCAACACTCTTTTTTAATTTGAAAAACATTTAGCTTGACAGAAACACAATGTGATATGTCCAAACACCTCAAATGACCAAAAATATACCCCTAGACATGACCTTTTCTCAAAATATTAAAAAAGCGTGCTTTACTCCATCTGCATAGAAGACACAGTAGCCAGCACTGTGACAGATAAAAGCAACTAACGCTGGTTACTGCTCAACACCAGAACACCAGGTGGCAGTACTTCCCAAAGGTCTAATCTGGGTGGACCAGTAAAAACCTCCAAATTCTGGATTAGAGCAGTTCAAACCACCCAGAGAAGGTTCCTAAATGGTACCTCAAGACAGTACTACAAATTCAACAGAAAAGCCAAGCATGATTTGATTTCTTCCTCTCATCTGTTGAAAGGCCACGTTCAGATACATAAAACAATGCCATCCAATGTTCAGAAAGAGCAACTCTGATTTAGCTTGAATTGCAATAGTAAGACAAAAGGCACAAGTTCAATTAGATCAATTAACAAAAGCAGCCGTCAACATCAAATACTGCAGCTCACATCTTTTTTTCTCTCTAAAGCCACTCAATAAAAGGTCCTGGTTTTGGTTACTTCGAGATTTCTTAAGTAGGAGAAAGAAAAAAAAAAAAAACTTGAGAGTTGTGAGAATACTCAAATACTTTCACCCATATAGTGTGCACCTAACAGAGCACCTTAGACGAGGAAGTGACATCGTTAAATCGGTCAAATAGCTCCATGTGATTAGATTCCAACGGCCTGTGCTCCTCACAACCTCTCAGCGGTGTGATTTAATGTAACGTTCGAGTAAATACGTAACACTCTTCCACATTAGAGATCTCCGTCCTCATCAACCCGTGATCCATGGCCATTACAGAGAAAAGCCTCCTTCTCCGGGGTCACACTGTCCCTGTTTAGACCGCAGGCTGGTTTGTACACACTCAGTTCCTCTTCCATACTGGAATGGGCCAGTGCAGCTTCAGTACTGTGCCAGATTCCATAGCCAAAGTAGATTATGAGTCCTGGAGAAAACAGAGGGATAATGGAATAAATTATTGACCACATACATGCCAAGTGCTTTCCTGGAGGCCATTCATAATCATCAAGGCCTAAATTTGATCTTTACAAACAGCACAACTAGTGTTCACGAGTAGTCGGACCACTTTTCAAAAAATTTCTGGACGAGCATACTGGCTCGTGAAGGAGCATGTACTGTACCTATAGACATCCAGATGGCGAATCGTATCCAGGTTCCCCTGTCCAGCTGCATCATCAGGTACACATTGACAAACATGCTAACCACCGGGAGAAATGGAAGCAAAGGAACCTGTTGGAAGATGTGAAGAATTAGTATTGCAGTACAGCTTATAAGGATGCCTATGATAACGAATGAGAAAAATCTTTTGAAAATATAGTTTTAAAAAACATATAATGTCCTCTATGTATTCATGTTTATTAAGTGGTACTTCAATTTTATCATTTGTAGTGATTCTGTTATGTGCTTTTTAGTAATTTTATTACTTCAACTTACACTTATTTCAGTTAGTTGCCAAGACAACCTTTTAAGTTTATCATCTATTTATTTTATTTTTTTGTTTTAAGATAAAATAGGGTTTTAAGTAGGGCTGTGAAACGATTAATGGCGATTAATCGCATCCAAAATAAAAGTTTGTGTTTACATGATATATGTGTGTAGAATTATTTTGTATATATAAATACACACATATGCATGTAAATATTTAAGAAAAATGTGTTATTAATATATACAAATATTTAGATTTATTTATAATATAAATTTTGTATAAATATATATAAAGTATATACATGCATGTGTGTGTATTTATATATACAAAATAATTATACACACATATATTATGTAAACACAAACTTTTATTTTGGATGCGATTAATCGTGATTAATCGTTTCACAGCCCTAGTTTTAAGTGTAAAATACCAAACTTGTCCAGCTTTAACTCAGTTACAAAAAAATAATAAATTTTTTTAGCAAGGTTTAGTAATACTGGATGGTTTCATGTGGTTTTATTTAAGGTCATATCACAAATTATACATTTATAAAATTCTTAACGTATTTGGTACTCACACAACACAACATTACATTTTATGATATATATTTGTTTTTTGTTTTTTGCATGTTGATTATCACATTATATCATTATATCACATTATCACATATATACACACACATATATATACATATATACACACACACAGAACTTAAAAATGTGCTTGTTACAAAAGATGTCCATTCAAGTATTGCATAATTGCACGGATGAATAGCATTTTTCATATATTTATGGTTAAATTCATATAGATCTGGACAAAAACAAAAATATAAATAGTAAATCTACCTCTAGAAGCTGTTTTTATTGGATGTGACCACATCCTGGTACTCTGTTAGAAGTACAGTTGTATTACACCTTGAGGTCTAACCTTAAAAGAGAGCTTGGTTTTACTCTCAGGTTGTCTCCAGATGATAAACGTGATAATGACGCACAGGCTGAACAGGACACTGAGAGTGACAATATTCCACACTGCAGTTCCGCCCAGGACAGCCAACAGACTGAAACTTAGGATCAGCATACCTAGAAGAGACGCCATTTAGAAACCTCAAAAAACAACTGAACAAAATCATAAAGCCCTAATAAAACCAGGATCTGTCTTAATGTGGAATCGCACTGATTCATACCAAGCAGACTTGTGCAGATGTTAACGATGAAGCCTGACATGTTGGAGGGCTCAGTGATGGTGGGGAGGAGCATTGTTTTGAAGCTGAATCGCTCTTCTATGCCGGGAAGAATCCCCATGCTAGGCGTGCTTATGGTCTCGCTCATTTCCATTTCGTCCTGTGTGTTTGCTAAGTGATATATCTGAGAAAAGTGTTCGGGCTGGTACCTGTAGATTACAACATTGTTTTATGGAAGCCTAATTGGAATTACATTGATATTTAAAATGCGTTCATTTTATATGCATCTGCCAACCTGAGTACTAAAACACAGGCGGCGACCAGGGTGTAGGCCAAAAGAGTTCCTATAGACATCAGATCAACCAAGTCCTTCAGGTCAAACAGGAAAGCCATGATAGCTGCACAGGAAGGAAGAGGATCGGATATGGTCATCTGTTTTGAGGATAGTTTGATATTTATAATGAGCA